ACAAGGTCCTCTACAGCCTGCTCTGGGTGACCTTGCTTGGGCAGGAGGGTTGGACTAGATGACCCACAGAGGTCCCTTCCAACCCCTACCGTTCTGTGATTCTGTGATCCTCCTAGCAACTCTATGAAGCAGGGAATCACTGTCTCCATTGCAAAGACAGGGAAACCAAGGGAAGAGGAGATGGGGGCCCCAGAGCCCCCAGGGCACGTGGACCCCTGGGTGCCCGGTAATGCTTGGTGCCTGATGACTGTAATGGGTCTGAACGGAGTGACTTGTGGAGAGTCACTCGGGGAGTCTCTGCCTCTGTTTCCCCTCCTCTGCTCTGTGTTAGTGCATTTCCCGACAGACAGAGCTGTGTCAAAGTCTTAATTGACTGTTGTTCATGAATGAGGCAGGGATTATGGGATGAAAGACTCCACAGAAGGGCAAAGTATCGTGCTTATCCAGTACACTCGCTTATCTGAATACTTCTGAGCCCCGCAAAGTCACATCGTACTGAACACGCACCAAGAATAGTTTAATATGAGATCACTGGTGAATTATTAATCATGGCATACATTCTGCAGCCTGCCAGAAATGATTGCTAACGTCACTAGGTTATGTCTGTAGTGAGTAGCAGAGGGTGTGTGAGAGACTTCTTTGCTCACGCTGCTAAGCGAATGAGAGCTGGAAACATTAAAATCAACAAGATCCAGGGCTGTTCCTCCCTTCAGGAGTATGTCTGAGAGCAGCTTCAGCTTGTCTGGCACGGCTTATATCTGGTGAAGCAGTAAATAAACAGTGTCAGAAAGCTACCGATGCTCTACATGTTGAGTGCCAAAGTGAAACTAAGAAAGAGCCTGAAACTTCTGCGTTGGGTTAGGCTGCCTGCAGCAGCACCTTGTGATGGTCTCTGCCCACAGAGATGCTTTTCACGAACTGTTGGGGATTTTTAAAGCTGAAATCTGTCTGTTGATTTCAAGCTCGGCTTTTGTACTGTCTTTTGATTTTTGTTCTTGGCCTGGTTTGGGGCTGAAAAGTGGCTGGAGGGGTCAGAGCTAGATGTGGCTGCATGAGCAGGCGGTGGGAAGGTGCTGGAGCAGTCCTGGCCCGGTGTGAAGCAACGTGCTGAAGGTGGTGGCAGGAGGGACCGGAGCACAGTGTCAGCAGAGCGACGCACTCGCAGGCGGCCCACGCTGCGCTGTGCCGAGCGTAACAGCTCTGGCCGACTGGTGACTTGTTGATGCTGCTGTCGGTGCCCTTATCTGCTCAGCTCATCTTGTGTCTCGCATACCTAGGTCCTCTGCTGAATCCCCTTATCGTGTTCTGCCCTACTGAGTCAGAGCTGAAGCAGTGGCTTTATCACCTGGAGAAACAGATCCAGCTAAATGGAGGAAGCCTGGGCTTGCCCTTCCTCTCTCAGGTTGGTGTCTTGGGACGGGGAGGGCTGCAGCTGCTTCCCACGCTGCGGGCTCGGAGCTGAATGAGCGGGACCGGCCGGGTGGACGCTGCGCTGCTCCTGCTGCGGTCGGTGGGAGGGATGATCTCTGCCGCCAGCCTCTCTCAGCCGTTTCCACCGCGCTTCCAGGCACTCACCTAACGCCTTCCTCTTCCAGAATCCCAAGTGCCCCGTGCCTTTTGTGCAGCCTCCTGCCAGGGAAGGCAAAAAGAAAGGAGGGTCTGGCAGGGCATGTGTGCTGAAAGCGAGACCGGCGACCCAGAGGTGCCAGCACCGCGGCCTTTGAAGGGTCAGAGCTGTGGGTCTGCTTCAGAGAAATTCTCACACAGTTGGCTGCTTGTACAATTATCCAGAATTTACCAGACATTTGAAGGAGGAGACTGGGACTGAGGCCTAGAAAACAGGGCCAGCTTCAAGACACCTGTCTTCTCTTCCAGTCTCTGTGGGGTGTTTTATTTGCCTCCCTGTCTCCATCTCCCCACTTGTAACACAGAGGCTTTCCCCTTTGAAAGGCAACGTACCGATGATGCTAGGCACCAAGTACGATTATTCAGTCCCAGATGGAAAACTGGCTCCTGCACAGATAGATTTACTCTTCCCTGCTTCTGCCATGCTTGGAAAGTGTCCTGAGGTGGGCCATGCGCTAGCTGAACTCTTAGGGGAGGACCCGTTTACCCTGCTTCTCAGTTCTGCTCCTGTCCCTAGAACGACTGGAACCAGAGCTCCATGGGGAAGGAGGAGCTGCGCTGGTCCGTGCAGAACATGCCTGTCCAGGAGTGGAGAGGGACCCAGCGGGAATCCCTAGGCGATGTCCTCTATGTTTCCAAAGTGAAGCTTCAGCATCTGCCTTTCCAGGTAGGACACATCTCTGGGGAGCAACCTCCTGTCAGCGTGGCTTGGAAAAGGCAGCGGGCGCACCAGCGACTAGCGCAGCCTCCTGATGCCACTGATGCAGCGGGTCCCCGAAGGGTCCTTTTACCCACCTCCTAGTAAAGTAAAAATACAAAGTAAAGGGCTCTCTGGATCTGAGCCCGGTCTGGCTGCTCACAGGGAACCCTCTTCCTCTTTGCTTCCCAAGGAGCAGCATGACCGGCTGCTGGTGCTTTACCCGTCCACGCTGGTGATAGTATCAGAAGAACGCAGCGGCCTCTGTTTTAAGGTAAGTTCATTTGGGAGCACCTTCCTGCTCTCTCTCGCCCATCCGCAGCGGCTCTTTCCAGCACTTCTTTGGCTTCTTGCTCCCCTCCACCTGCGTTCCCTTGTGCTCCTCGTGTTGGCAAGGGCTTTCCCTCCACGCTGCTCCCTTGCCAGCTGGCAGGTGAGCAGGCAGAGGGATGTTGCAAGCTGTCTTCCCATGAGAAACACCTTGCCCTCCTACAAAAGCCCGGAGGGAAAGGAGCTGGCTGCCAAGGTACCTTGAGTCTCTGGGAGGAGGGAAGCTGCCACGGTTCTGTGCGGTTACACTGGGGGAGAGCCTGGAGAGACAGGAGCTGGAACAGCCCCGGGGAGTGCTCCCATGGGGGCTTGGCTTCCCAGACCCCGCTCTGTGGGACCACGGGAAAGCAGGTAGCATCCAGGCAGCACGTCTGGTGCCCGTGGGGAAGGGCAGAGGCAGTTCGCTGGCTGGCGGGCAGAGGGGAGAGGCCGCTGCTGGTGCGCTGCGTTTGCTGCTCTTTGCGGAGCAAGGGCCCCAAGCAACGTCTGGGCATGCCAGGGGAAGGGCCAACAAGGACGTGGAGGGCTGAATGGGATGCGAGATGAGCTCCTCTAGCCCACCGGTGTGTCTTTGCTTGTCGGAGCAAGGCTAGGAGGCTCGGCGCAGATGGGCAGTGGCACTGTGGGCGCTGGGAGCTGCGTTCGCATTGCCTGTGGTCTGAATGGCCCTTAAAATTGATTGCCAGCATCCATCTTAGACATCACTGCTGGAACAAACGTGCCAAAAAAGAGCGCTGAACTGTCTCTGAACCCGCAGGTGCAGCGGCACCGGCACATGGTGGAGCGGAGCTGAGCTGCTTCTTAGTCACTGAGAGGGGAGCCAGGAAACCCTGCAGAGATGGAGGGCTTGTGAAATTCAGTGCGAAGTCGCTGGGGTCCTCCTTCACGTGATTTCACCATGTCCGCCTCAGGTCCCGAGCCATGCAGACTGCTCTTAATTCCAGGGAAGAAAGAGCATCTCCCTGGCCAGAGGAGATGGCTGTGCCTGCAATGGGAAGGGCTGTGAAGGAGGAACTTATGATAGGACAAGGAGTAGTGGCTTTAAACTAAGAAAGGGTAGACTTAGACTAGATAGAAGGAAGAAATTTTTTACCATAAGGGTGTTGAAACACTGGAACATGTTGCCAGAGAAACAGTGGAGGTCCCATCCCTGGAAGCATTCAAAGTCAGGTTGGACGGGGCTCTGAGCAACCTGGTCTGGTTGAAGATGTCTCTGCTCGCTGCAGGGGTGTTGGGCTAGGTGACCTCTAAAGGTCCCTTCCAACCCAAAGCATTCTCTGATTCTGTGATTCTATGCCAGTCGGAGCTCTGCTCCGTCCCCAGTGCGGCAGCGGAGGGTGTTTTCCAGCAGCTGGTGTGACACGCCTCAGGCAGAGCTTGGTTTCGGGAACGTGTTGTTTGCAGCTTCTGGGAATGGGGCACCATGCAAGGGGACCTTGGGCTGGGCTCTCAGATGAACTCATCTCTTTTGAAACCTTAAACCAGATTTATCTGCCTCGTCCATGCAACGTTCCCTTCCCACGGTGCCTGAGCGTTGGTCCCGGGCATCTTCCTCGCCGGGTAATGGCAAGGCTCTGCGCAGGAGGTGATTCACCAGCCTGTGACACTGCAGCGGGGAACCTGATTTTCCACAGGCGTGTCAGGGCACAGGAGCCTTCTCCCAGGGCTTCTGCAAATTAACTTCCCTTCCCTGCGAGCAGACGCTGAGCCTGACAATTTGTGTGTGAAGGAATAGCCCGGCCCTTTTGTTCTTTGGTTTCGTACAAACCGCAGGAGCTGCCGCTGCCAAGTTTGTGGGACAGGCGAGGGGAAGGCAGGGGCTGAGCCTGCCAGGACGGGGCTCACCCGAAGCAGCAGGCTCTGGCTCACCGCTGGTGGGAAAAGGCCCTGGGCGAGGTGTAAATCGGCGAGGGGAGAGCTGCTGGAGGGTCTCTGCAGCCGGCGTGCATGTTGTCTGTGGGATGCTGCTGCGGTGGGACTCTCGCCCCAGGGTGTTCCAGCCCCTTGCCATGGACCGGGGGCTGTTACCTTGGGGTGGATGGAGCACCGGGCGCCTCAGGGGAAGCCCACGCAGTCTTCAGTGGCAGGA